ACGAGGTTGTTATTATTCCAGATGGTCCCTTATATGAAGTGCCTTTTCCCGCCTTACAAGATCCTCGCACGGGAAAGTATTTGTCAGAGACAAAGCGCATTAGACTTGCTCCTTCACTGGCAACCTTAAAGCATCTTGAAGACTTCCCAACAGACCGATTCAGCGATGCCAAGMCTTTGATTATTGGTGATCCTTTAGTTGGGAAAGTTATGATGAATGGAGAAGAACTGGATATTGGACGTTTGCCAGGTGCACAAGCAGAAGCAATCGTAATAGCTAATAAACTTGGTGTTAAGCCACTAATAGGCGAAGCAGCCACAAAGGTGGTYGTCCTAGAGAAACTACAAAAGGGGGTATCTGTTGTTCACATTGCTGCACATGGTATCCTATCAAAAGCTACCATCGTACTTGCACCTTCTCCTGAGGTAAGAGCAACAAAGATACCAGATGAAGAAGATTACATGCTGACCATGGCTGAAGTGCAGCAGGCTCAAGTACGTGCACAGTTAGTTGTGTTAAGCTGCTGTCACAGTGGACGTGGTGAAATCAGAGCTGAATGAGTAACTTGGTATGTGTCGAGCCTTTCTAGCGTCAGGTGCTCGTGCAGTGGTAGCGTCTCTGTGGGCCATCGATGACGATGCAACATTCGAGTTCATGGAAAAATTCTATCTTAGTTTAAAAGATGTAAAGAGTGCGAGTGCTAGTTTACATCAAGCGATGAATAGAATGAGAAACACTTCCGGCTACAGCAAACCAAAGTACTGTGCACCATTCTTTCTCATGGGTGATGACGTCACTCTGAAATTGTAACGCAATACTGTTCATGTGACTTTGCCATCACGTGAGTGATGCATACTCTTGGTGCAAAGGTTGTCCTTCTGATTATGCAGGTCATTTATTGTCAGAACTAACTTTAGTCAGTTGTATTGAGAGACAATGTTTTTCAAGAGCAAATATGTAAATAAATCAGGAAGACACACTTCTAGTAATATTAAGTAACATTATTCAGTCGACCAACGTACATAAAGTTTTTTTTTTTTTTCGTATAGCACTTCAACCATATATGCATGGTACTACGAACTGAGTTCTCTAATAGTACAGGTGGTAAATAGGAACTAAGTAGGCCGATTTATTAAATAACATTAGTTATTATAAAAATACTTTAGTATAATAGACTTAAATATAGAGTTTCGCGCGCTGTGATTGGTTGAGCGACCAGTGATTCTGAGACGATAATCACTGCTCGAGCGGTGATTATGAGGTTTCCCAAAGTTTGCCACAGCATAAGTAATGGACGGAAAAAGCGCGATTGCAAGTTTACAGCAAGCGATAAAAGAAATGAGGAACTCTTTCAGCTACAACAAACCAAAGTACTGGGCACCATTMTTTCTCATGGGTGATGGCGTCACAACCATATGTTAAGGATTACTGAAACTGAGCATAATGATGGCATTTTAAATCTAATCATTAAAATGACAGCTGCCTTTTTTTAAGTTAAGAAAACAAATGATATATTTTCTGCTGCTCATATCCTCAAATCTAAATGTAGGAGAGCGTGTAAGATATAGTGACATTTTTCCGTTGAGCCCTGGACAAGTGACATTTTCAGTCTCTGACGGTTATGAAGTTGAGATGTGTATCAACATACTCGTAACAAATTATTGTAAGAAGTTGACGTCATTTACACGCGTTTGAAGGGGGTTGGGTGGGGTTGGGTGGGGTTGGGTGGGGTTGGGTGGGGTTGGGTGGGGTTGGGTAGGGTTGGGTGGGGTGGGGTGGAGTGGTTCAGTATACTTTTACGGTGATTTTTACACTTATATAATATTTTTAGATCTAGAATTTTATCTGTATTGTATTATTTAGATTAAGTTTAAGCACGTGCACGTTCTAACGAGACTTTATTGTAAGCTCCTGTGTGTCTACGTGAATAAATAAATAAATTACTTACTTACTTATGTTTGATTCCTACAAACATTCGCTCTTAATACAACGTTTCGTTAAAATAAGAACATATTGTACAATGTGAGCACTAATACTAGATATTCGGCTGACTTTTGGTTGAAAATCACAGCTGTAGAATTTGGAAATAGTTCATATATTGATATATTTATATATGAGTTTTGCATAATTTTTTGTAATCCGCTATATATACATATATATGTATAAGATAAACATAAATGAGCAACGGAAAAATGCAGTTAGATGTGTTGGACAGCAAACTGATATCTCGTTTACGACATTGTCTGAACTACATATGACATACGAAAACCAGCTTCTTTCTTTAACATTTTTAAAATGAATTCCATTTAAAGGAAATTATATAAAGTATATCGTGGTCACAAACAGCTTACAATTACCATTAAAAACAAGATATATCAGCATCGTTGTCTTGGAATGGAATGGATATATCTCGATGACAGATGAACTTTATGGATGTCCACCACCATAGGCACAAGACAACATCAATGGAAACCCAATCCATTGCGTGGATGGAACACACCTTGTCAACTACACCACGACCATCAGTACTCATGAGATGAACTGTATGGATGGATAGACCACACCCTGTAAACTACACTACAACCATCAGTACTCATGAGATTAACTGTATGGATGGATAGACCACACCCTGTAAACTACACTACAACCATCAGTACTCATGAGATTAACTGTATGGATGGATAGACCACACCCTGTTAACTACACTACAACCATTATTACTCATATGAGATGAACTGTATGGATGGACAGACCACACCCTGTCTACACCACAACCATCATTACTCATGAGTTGAACTGTATGGATGGATAGACCTCACCCTGTCAACTACACTACAACCATTAGTACTCATGTGAWAAACTGTATGGATGGATAGACCTCACCCTGTCAACTACACTACAACCATCAGTACTCATGAGATGAATTGAATGGATGGATAGACCACACCCTGTCAACTACACCACAACCATCAGTACTCATGAGATGAACTATATGGATGGATGGACCACGCCCTGTCAACTACACTAC